TTACCCAGGGTCAGAATAGATTCCATTATGAGGGAGTCCGTGCTCAGTGGCCTAAAATCATTTAGGAGATAGGCTGAAATTGGGGAATGGATATAACTTATTTTCACCAAGAAAACCTGGAGTTCCAGCTCCAAGGCCGTTCACCAGAGGAGATGAATGTCTGGACTGGAGTTTGGGTCACCCACTCATGCACAGCCTGCAGGCAGGATGCTCAATTAGGAGGAGATTAGAAAACAGGACTTTCTTGTGACCAAGGACTAAAATAGAATTCTTCACTTTGGGGACTTGCCTCTAAATTGCCTAGCTGATTTCTGGCCCCTGTCCTTATCACTACTTCTGACCAGAGGTGAATTAGGGATTTCTGTGTCCTCCACTTGGGATTTGCTAAGTGGCCCACAGGACTCAGAGATATTTACACAATTCAGTGATGACCAGGTCAAGGATATGTATAGGGGGAATGCTGGCTAGTTTTATATCAGCTTGACACAAGCTAGATTGATCACAGAGAAGGAGACCTCATTTGAAAAAAATGCCACCTTAAGATCAGGCTACAGGCAAGCCTGCAGGGCATTTTCTTAATTAGTGATAGATGGGGGAAGAGCTTATCCCATTGTAGGTGAGGCCAGCCCTGGGCTGGTGATCCTGGGTTCTGTAAGAATGCAGGCTGAGCAAGTCAAGAAGAGTAATCCAGCAAGCAGCACTCCTTTGTAACCTCTGCAGCAACTCTTGCCTCCAGGTTCTGTCCTGACTTCCTTCAATGATGTACAGTGCTTTGGAAATGTAAACCAAATACACGTTTTCCTCCCCAAGTTGCTCTGGTCATGGTGTTTCATCACAACAAGGATAACCCTAACTAAGACAGATTTGGTACCAGGAGTGGGGTATTGCTGCAACAAACTTAACCATGTGAGGATTGTGTAAGGACTTTAGAACTTTAAGATGGAAAATCCATTTAGTGTTCAAAGCTTGGTGAGCTGTTTTGTGGGAACTTGGAAGATAAGAATGTTGACAGCAATGTAGACAATGGAGTCCTGGCTTGTGATGTTTCAGAGGGAAGTTTGAGAGTCCCTTGATGACTGTCAGAGTCATTTGATGTTTCAAGTTAGGAATTTGTGGTTCTGCTAGGCTAAGGCTGAAGAAACAGCTATGATTAACAAGATACCAGAACCATTGAAGTAAACCCTTTGCCTAACTGGGATAGTTGATGTTGGTTAGCTGGAGCTGAGATATTAGCTGTGACTAACAAGAGACAAGCATCATTGAGCTAAAATCATCTGGGAAGTGTTTCTTCAGGGTCAGCATATACACTTCCTTTGGGTGTATTACTCTGGCGCATATACCAAATGCCTTGGAAAGCTGCTAGCTTTGTATAGTGTCTAGAACAAGAGAAAGCTTTGTTTTGAAACAGGTCCAGGCTGCTGGGCAGGCTGCTCTACCACTTGGACCATATGATCCAGCAGACCTGATGGTATTTGAGGTGTCAGTGGTCTCTAGGGATGCTGTTTGGAACCTTTGGCAGGTCTCTATATGTGAATCACAGAAGAGAATGTTGGGATTTTGGAGCAAGGCTCTACCATCATCTGCAGACAACTATTCTCCCTTTGAGAGACAGCTCTTGGCCTGCTTTTGGGCCTTAATGGAAACTGTAATGGGCTGCCAAGTTGCCATGCTATCTGAGCTGCCCATCATGAGCTAGGTGTTATCTGACCCACTAAGTCAGCAGCAGTCCATTATCAAATGGAAGTATATATGTGTTAGGACCCAAGCAGATCCTAAAGGCACAAGCAAGTTGCCCAAACGCCTATGGTTTCTACTCCTGTTGTAATGCTGTTTGTTCTCAAGCATGCACCTAGAGCCTCATGGAGTGTGCTCTATGATAAGTTGACTGAACTGAGGAAGGAAGACCCTAGGACCTGGTTTACTGATGGTTCTGCACATTAGGCAGACATCACCAGAAGTGGGCAGCTGGAACATTAGAACAACTCCTCTCTAAAAGACACCAGCAAAGGGAAATCTTCACAGTGGGCAAAATTTCAGGCAGTACACATGTTCACATTTTGTTTGGAAGGAGAAATAGCCAGATGTCTGTTCACTGATTCATGGGCCATTGTTTGGTTGGATGGTCAGGAACTTGGAAAGAGCAAGATTGGAAATTGGTGAGAAAGACATCTGAGGAAGAAGTATGTGGACTGATATATCCAATGGGTGAAGAATGTGAAGAGGTGTGTGTTCAATGTATGCTCATCCAAAGGTGACTTTAGCAGTAAAGGAATTGAGTAATCAAGTAGATAGGATAACCAGTTCTGTGCACAGTCAGCCTCTTTCCCCAGCCATCCCTACCATTGCCCAGTGGACTGGTGAACAAAGTGGCTGTGGTGGCAGAGATGGGCTCAACATATAGACTTCACTCACCAAGGCTGACTTGGCTACAGCTGCTACTAAGTGGAAGATCTTCCAACAGTAGACACCAGCACTTAGTCCCAGAAACGGCACCATTCCCTGAGGTGACTAGCTGCAACTTGATGGTAGTTGACTCCATTGGGCAACTTCCACTGTGGGAAGAGTGCTTTGTTCTTACTGGAGTAGGGATTTATCCTGGTTATGAATTTTCCTTTCATGCACATAATGCTTCTGCCAAGACCACTATCCATGGACTTAGAGAATGCCTTATCTATCCTCCTGGTATTACACACAGAATTGCCTCTGACCCAGGAACTCACTTTGTAAACATAGGGAATGGAGTGGTGGAACTTTCCTGTCTTGTAACATCATCCAGTGTTTGCACATGTCTGACAACCTGGAAGTTGGTCAGACTTAGGAGTTCAGGTTTTGTTTTGTGAGTCTTGACCCCTCCTCCCTGCTCTCTCTCCTTCCTGGAAATAAGTGGGTGAGCTAGAAAATTAAGACAACTTTCTTGTGACCAGTACCATCAGTAAAAGTCAAACCTAAGTTGTATATTTAACATACATTTTCTCCAGCTATTTCAAGATTTTCAGGAGCCCTGTGCAAGGAGCCAGAAACAAATACCAAATGTATCTTTTATGCCAACTCAGGTAGCATAAACTTTACTATTTTTAAGGGTACAGTTTACTAATTCATTTTGTTTTGCCACAGACCTCTAGATCCTTGACATCTTATAAAATTCAAACTCTGAGCAGGGCAGAAAGGAGGGTGGAGAAGCCCACTAAGTTTTAAAATGAGTATGAGTTAATTATGACAAAAATAAAGGAATATTCCCAACAAACCCTGAAACTCTGGATTCATTAAACCCACAATCTTCATCCTCCCCATTACCTGGCAGCCACCATTGTATTTCCTGTGAACTTGATCATGGCACTAAGATCATACAGTATTTTTATTTCTGTGACTGGTCAGTCCACTCAACAGATGTCCTCAGGGTTCATCCATGTTGACCCATGTAGCAGAATTTCCTGTCCTTTTAAAGCTGATTGATTTCCCTTGATCTGTGTATGTGATATGCTGTTCATTCATGTGTTTCTGTACTTGGGTTGCTTTTGTCTCCTAATTGTGGTGAATATGATGGCGTGAGGTTGGCTGTGTCAGTGTGCCAGTGTCTCTTTGAGCATCTAGTCTATTCTTCATCCTTTAGAGTATTGTATTAGTTATGTTCCTGTTCCTGTGATAAAATATTCTGACTAAAATCAACTTAAGGAAGATAGATTTACCTTGGCTTACAGTTCCAGGGAGATAGTGCCCATCACAGCAGGGAAGGCATGGCATGGTGACAGGAGCAGGAAGCTGGCTGATCTCACTTCTTCCACACACAGGAAGCAGAGCTAGAGAATGGGAACAGGGTAGGAAGGGAGGTGACACTAAAGTCTTGAAGTCCATCAGTGATATACTTCATCCCACAAAGGTTCACCTCCTAAAGGTGCCAGATCTCAAAAAGCACCACCTACTGGAGATAAAGTGTACAAATACATGAGCCAATGGGGACATTCTCCTTCAAACCACTACATTCTACCATAGACCTTCCTGGGTTCATGGCCATCTCATGATACAAAATGTGTTTAGTGCAACTTTAAAAATCCCTACAGTCTTTTAATAGCCACAACACTGTTCAAAAGTTCACAGTCCCTTCTAAGACTCAGTCTCTTAACTGTGACTTCACTGTGAAACTAAGAACAAATTACATACTTTCAGCAGATAATGGGGATGTAGTAAAGACACACTGTACCAAAGGCCTTCTCTGAATTACTTCACATGAAACCCATCTTATTACGAGAAACTGGGATGTTAGCTCCTATTTAAGGATAGTAATGTGAGACCTCAGAAGTCACTGAAATACTTGGTGGCCTCTTGTCTTTGATGGGTCTATTTTCTTTCTTTTGGTATGGTGGCTTGCACTGAATGAGGAGGGAGTAGGTTTAATTTCAGTTACCCAAAGATGGAGGAGAGTCAGTGCATTCCAGTCAAGAATTCCCAGGGAAAGGGAAGGATTGGCCCCACCTGGAGCAACTGCTGTCTCTGTTGTGTGTGCCTCTTGAACGTGGCCAGGGAGTTAGCAAGTACAGGGAATCCATGTCTATGAGAAGTGTGTAATGGCGTGGGAGGCAGCAGGGGCCTGGAAGAAAGGAAATGAATGCAGGGTGTGCTCTGTCCCCGTGGTATATGAAGTCAGCGGTGAACAGGCAAGCGGGGGAGTGTTGAAGAAAGCATAAGGGATTGTGAAAATCCAGGGTAAGATTATTACAGTGACGAGAGACAAGCTGATGGATTGCATTGTGAATGGGAAATGGAGAAGAAATGGCAGTGTGGCCTTCACCTTCAGAGATCATGAAGGAACTCTTCTTCATCAAGCATTAGCATCCATGATCACTGACTTACTTGCTGGGTGACACTGTGTGTCCCACAGCAGGCTAGGCCCTTTTAGATGTGGCTCTGGTTGAGGCTTCTCCCAGCCCTGGCTGCTCACTGTTTGCTGCTGAGTCTCTAACCTGTGTCTCTGCAGCAGGACTAACCCTGTTCTTTCCTTTCAGAGATGTGGTACTGGATCTTCCTCTGGGCTCTCTTCTCCTCTCTGTTTGTCCACGGTGCTGCAGGCGTGCTGATGTTTGTGATGCTGCAGAGGCACAGGCAGGGCAGAGTCATCTCCATCATTGCTGTCAGCATCGGCTTTCTGGCTTCTGTAACTGGAGCAATGATTACTAGTAAGTTGACTTGTTCTGTTCAAGGACATCATTTTTTATGTCATTACTGATTTGGTCAGTACTGTCCTGATTGTAAAAGAAGCCTTATCTTTCGTGTACACTACTCCTCAGCGCTCTACAGTCCAGGGCCTGGAACACAAAGAGGAGTTCACTCACTCACCAGACAGACAGCTGCACCTCACTATGTGGGAATTCATGGGAGTGACACTGGCAAGGGCCATAGTGGTGGTTTGGTTGGAAAGTGCTTTATAGAAAGACTAGTTTCTGCTTTAAAGACACCAACTGTTTACTAAGGAGGGAGGGAGGGACTAAAATATGACAGTGGCAGCTGTCATTTAAGAACGGCTCATCTATCTGCCTGTGACAACACTATATAATTGCATTTCTTCCTGTACCATATATTATGACAAAACTTCTCTGCCTCAGGAAATGTACAAGTTTTCTGCTGAGCTGTCTCTCTTACATGTCACCTGGTTTGCTCCCCTGGCCGTTCCCTGACACTGAACTTGGCCCTGCTCCTCAGAGAGTTCTGCTTTCTGGAGCTGCTGCTTGAGCAGTTGCAGCCTGGGGGACCCCAGCTGCTGTCTTAGAGGTGACTTACAGCTGGCGACTTCCTGCTTTTGAGGCATACACTTACCCAGCACCCACTTCTGGCTGTCTTCTGCACCCTGGGGCAGCTCACTGCCACACTGCATCTCTTTCCAGGCTCTCCACAAGGGATTGTTTAAGTTGATTCTGGCCACAGTGTGAGGAAAGCTTTATCTTTATAGGGCAAGGGCTCCTTCCTCCACCTGTTCCATAGTGATTAGCATATCTTGACTGAAAAGGGGAGTGGTCTCTCTGTGTCTAACTGTCTCCTGGCATCAAGACAGTAGTGAAACCCATGTGGGAAATAGTGATTTGCCTGTCTGTCTGTCTCCCTTTTTAATCTCTTCTTGACTGTTTGGTGTTCTGGGCTGGCTTATTTGGGGGCATTGTGTGATTTATCCTGTGGTTTCTTGTCCACCTTGTCACAGATCAGGGTTGAGATGAGGGCCCAGGCCCAGGGGCAGCTGCTAGGGTCATAAGAGAGCTGTTGGAAGAGACTGGAATGAGCGCTAAAGGGCCTTCAGTTGCTAGGCAGAAGCTGGGTTTCTTCCTGCAGGCCATAGAAAACAAGCAGATTTCATGTCCTTTTTAAGAGATGCATTTTGGCGTTTTGCCTGCCTGTGCATCTGTGCCCTGTGTGCATGCGGTACACACAGAGGCAGGAGAAGGGCACTGAGTCCTCTGGAGCTGGAGTTTCAGATGGGTGTTAGCTGCCACAAGGGTGCTGGGAACTGAACCCAGGTCTTGTGCAAGAGCAGTCTTGTGTACCTCTGAGCAGTCTCCAGGCCACAGATAGGTATTTTTAAAAGGGGGTAGATAAGGGAAAGGTCTTCAGTTAGATATTGTGTTCTCTAACTGTATATGGACTGTGTGAAAAGAAGCAGGAGAAAACTCTGAGGGAGCAGGCTCTCCCTGCCATACCCACTAATAAAAACTACCTAGACAGTGAGTTCTCAAAGGACACTGTCGACTGGGTGGATGGCATGAAGAAGGAAAAGGAAGGACAGAAGGATGTGGGAGAGTAAAGGGGAAGGAAGAGGAATTTAGAGGCACAAGTAGAGTCAGTACTAATGTCAGGGTCCATGCTAGGTGATGGCTGTGTAGTGTTCACTGTGGTGACTGACATTTAGAGACAGGAAGGGGCAGCCAGTTTGGTGAGATGTTGTAAACATTATGCCTGTGTCTGTGATGTCATTGTAAGATTTTGAAGGGTGTGAAGGGTCTACTTCTACTTATGTCTAATATGTGTGTGCATATAACCCACCTTCAGTTCCATCAAGAATATAATAAGTTAGTAGGTTTTGGTGGTTTTATTTATTTTTTAATATTTATTTACTTATTTGTTTGTTTTTGAGACAGGGTTTGTTTGTGTACTCCTGATTGTTCTTAAACTCACCGTGTAGACCAGGCTGGACTTAATCCGCCTGCCTCTGCCATCCTAGTGCTGGGATGATTTTTTAAAACTATAAATGAAATGCTATATATCCTTGAAAACATAAGTCTGGCACAAATTTCAGATAAAAATTTGGTTCTTGTGTTAGCAAGAATACACAGAAATGTTTTGTTGCTAACTTTTTGACTGGCAACCATGAATTAAAACTAGCTAGAATATTCAGCTATGTATCTTCTCCTTTTCTTTATATTTTTAAAACCTTTTCCATTTTTATTTTATATGTATGGGTGTTCTGTCTACATGTGTGTCTGTGCTAAATATCCTTATCAGTACGATGCTGATGGGTTACATATTACCATATATCCATTCTGTTTGTTACTTAGATTTTATTTCCAAGACAAAGTGATATGGTGTTGGTTTTTCTGTTTGCTTGCTTACTTGAGTATGGCCTTGCAAGCCTGTAGCCCAGACACTGATGCTGGGGGAAGGTTTGGAGGTTAGGGGTTTGTGGACTCATGCTTAGGTAGCTCAGCGGCAAATGGATGAGCTTCAGGTCAGTGGGCTCAAGGGGATACGGTGGAGTGATAGCAAGGACCCCGTCCTCCCCTCCCCTCTCCATGTCACACACAACCTGCCCTTACCCCACGTGCATAAAGAGTGCCTTTTGTGTCTGTCTGTTTTGAGACTGCGTTTCTCTTCATAGCCCTGGCTAACTATCGTGGAACTCTCTCTGTTGAACATGCCTCTGCCTCTGTCCCTGGAGTGCTGAGATTAAAGGCATGCACTACCATGCTCCATTACAAATAAAGTTTTAAAAAGAAAACAAAAATTAGTTTGTTTATGTATAGTGACCAGTTTTAGCTGACTAATCTTTTGTAAATATTTTAGCAAATCTAAAGTTGTAGGGCAACGTGTTTTTATGGGTTTAGTTTGCGTTTCTCTGTATACTGATAGTCTCAGCATCGCTTCCTTCACTTGATATACACAAATTTCCCCCTCTGCACATCACTTAATCCTGTGCTTTTTTTTTTTTTGGATGCTTCTTATATGTTTAGGCTGAGGGATTTGGCCTGGCATGGACTCTGTGAATGCGTTTTCCCAGGCTCTTACCAGTTCCTTCATCCAGTGAGTTTATTGAGTAGCAATGTCTAATTAGCAATGTAATCAGCTTACAGGTCTTTTTTTCCACACTTATGGTATATAATTTGGTGCTTTAGGAAATTGTGTCTCAAAAAGGACATTATGATATATATTCTTTATTTTATAGCTTTACCTATTATAGTGAGGTCTTTAACTCATCTAGAGGAGGAGTCAGTAAACATCTTCTTAAAGGGACAGATGGTAAATGTTTTAGACTCAGAGGCTCAAGGTGAGCTCGGTTGCTCAAGCCTGCCATTCATTGTAACACAAAGCAGAGCTGTGGGAAAATGAATGGACATTACTTGTTCCAAAGAAAACTGTTCACAGAAACAGGTGTCTGGTAGTCGGACCATAACTCATTCCTGGCCCAAGTCGACCTTTGTCTTTAGCGTTAGGTGGGACCCCCTCCTCCATGGTAAGTCAGTTTTCACCCCAGCAGCCACTGAAGTAACTCAGCAGTTGCTGATGATTCTATGGGTACCGCCTTCTTGTTCGCTGTATTCTCAAGGTCCCGGGATTCATCTCTCAGCTCTAGTGATGTCTTCATCTGTTTTCTATTCTCCCAGCAAGTCCACTTTCCTAGGCCTCTGGTTTTGTGTGTGTCGTGGAGGTGGTATGGTGTAGTATGTACTAGGTAATTCAAAGTTAGCTGTTCATGAACTGTCTGAGTGTGGTTTTGTTAGCTTTCTTGGGAAGCTCTGGAATGTTAGGATATGTGACCATGTTCACTGAAGGAGCTCACCTGCCCTTTCATCAGAGAGTAAACTGTTTTCCTCAGTGGGAGGGCTGCGTGCTGTGCTGAAACCCCAAACACCATCTTACAAGTGGTGTGCGTGTCTGTCAGTCACAATTTCATTGTGCTGCTGTGAGGAAACCCTACGATGTTGCTTAGTTAGAATTCACAGGGGCCTGGTGCTGTGGAGAGTTATAGACGGCCGACAAGCTAAGCGCTCAGTCAGTCAAATACAGACTGGAGCTGAAGAAAGAACCCAAGTGTAGGAAAAAATAAAGAAGTTAAAAACATAAAACTTGTCAAATGTCAAATTGCATGAGGAGAAATAGAAAGCACTAGTGGAGCAGTGACTCCTTTAAATCATTGAATGCTGAAGAACCTGCCCCATCTCCAGACCCAAATGTGGTATTCGGGTCACCCTACCAAATTTCAGGGAGTATTTACCCCTCCCCGTTTAATCCAAGTATTACAAGTAGAGTAAAACCTGCACAGCTCTTGCTGAGACCAAGTGTGTCAGGAAGGTTGAAACAGTTAAAGACAGAAAGTGTGGGCTCATGGGCCATGGGAATGCTGCCCCTTAACCACTGAGCCGTGCCTCCAGACCACATTTGTTTGACTTTTGAGAAAGGGTCTCTGTGTAACCTGTGTGGCCTGGCTGGGCTGGGACTCCATCTTCCTCTGGCTCATGAGAGCTGCGATTAAAGATGTGAGCCACTGTGATTGCCTCCTTCCCCTCCCCCCTTTCATAGGATACTAAGACCTTCACTTGTGTTTCAAAGTTTATGATATGTTATTATTTTTAGCATTTTCTTATTTAGTCTTCCTGATGGTTTGAGGTAGGAACTTCAGTCTATTTCTTCCAGGTGACTGCCGAGTTATTCCAACACCATTAGTTGTATTATGAGGCAAGGATAAGCTTGTTTGTGTTCTGACTACTGGCTAGAATTAGTGCGCAGTTCCAGGACCGCACCTAATTCTGTCCTTTCCTATATTTATGGGGATGAGAGTTAATTCTGGAGTAAAAGACGAGTGGCAATTGTTAAAACAGTTTTCACATTAAAAGAGAGCATAAACTGTGTATTTTAACTTTGAGTTGAAAAAGCCATTCTTGGATTTTATGGTTTTGTGTCCTGCGGTAAAGGTAACTTTGAACCAGGCACATGGAAAAGTGGGGATGTGTTAAGTATTCTGCTGTGGTAAATGGAAGGTGACCTTTGCAGCAGCCGTGTGGCAGCTGGTACCCTGGGTGACTGTGTGCTCTGCTTCCCTCACAGGTGCAGCAGTGGCAGGCATCTACAGAGTGGCTGGGAAGAACATGGCCCCCCTGGAAGCCCTGGTGTGGGGCGTGGGGCAGACTGTACTGACTCTTATCATCTCCTTTTCAAGGATCCTCGCGACACTTTGAGGTTCTGAGGGAATGTCTTCTTAACTCATGAAATAGATGTACAGCTTCCCCAGAAATGGCGTTGTTAACCAGCTGAAATGAAATTTACAAGCAGGGACCCAGCAAGTCAAAACCTAGGGAAGACCTTGAGCCGTGTGGAAAGCCTGCCCTCTGGCGTCCAAGAGATTGCACTACCGCATTGCACCTTATGTGCCTCCGTTCCAGGCAAGGTGCACATGACACTCCGTGAAGCTGCAAGAAAAAGCACCTTGTTTAGCTGCCAATCAGGTTAACATTGGTGTTGAAATCATCATTCTCAACAGTGTTCTGTTAAGTTACAGGGACGTTTTGAGAAATTGATCTATGTGCCAAACTTTTCTTTCTGTTAACATTGATCATGTGACAGTTTGCAAGTGGAGACGTAGGTGAGTGCTGTGAAAATACTTGACATGGATTCAGGAAACAGTCAGACTTTGTCTTGTAATGCTAACTCCCATATAAATGCCGAATACCAGGCTTTCAGTACGAAGGAAGGTGTGTGGTTTTTAAAGCTGAGGGTTTCTGGGACTTGAGGCTTTAATATGTCTATGTGTTGTTATTTAATTTATGTGGAAAACAACAGTCTTTTTCATGGAAGAGTAGCTGAGTGTCCTAAGGACTCAAGTTGATTTGGAGGGTGCACACTTTTCAGGAGCTTACACCCTTTGAATAGTTTCCCTTACACATTGTATTCTATTTATATGGATTCAGACCTGTATGGGTCAAGCACATTGTCACTCACGTGTCATAAATATATCATTGAAAATTTTCCTTATACATTTTGTAAGAAAAGTCTGAAATGCATGTTGCATTCTTCAACCCTTCTAAGAAAGTTTTTGCCTCGTATGTTACAGAACACAACCCTCTAATTCACATTGCAGTGGGATTGTGTTGTGCAGTGTACATGTCTCCGCAGTCTTTGATTCCGGAATACTAACTGCTTAGAGAGTGGCCTAAATTAGGCTCTGGGATTTAAAAATGCCTCATTTATAGAAAATAGTAACTACCTTACATAGGAAGAGCAGTAACTGTAGTACCCTATGTGTGCGACAGGGTTAGGATTACACTAAGTGAAGACTGGGGGACACAATGTATCATTCTACAAATTGACAGTCTGAGTGTGTCAAGAGGCGGGGTTCATTTGAGTGATGTCATTTGAGTGTGTGTTTCTGAGTTAATACCTGAGTCAAATAGTGTCTCTGATTACATTCATTACAGGTAGAAATGTACTTTGTAATACTTTTAGGAGGCTTAGAGAAATACACAGTTGTCATGAGTCCAAGAAGTCAGAAAGGTACAGACCCTGGTTGAACTGAGTATTGTGTGTGGGGTGGGGGGCGGTAACCAGTTCTGATTACAAATGTGCTAACTCTAAGGAAGATCTGTGTAGAGACTGAATTTACAAGTGACTAAAAAATAACAGAGCACTCTAAGCTTCTTAATTTAGTTTTAAGACTTTTATTATCCATACCCCTTTTTCTCTAGCAAGAAGAATATGTCAACAGTTTTTGGAGGGACTGCTTTTGCCAGTACATAAGCCAATGTATGGTGTGGCTTGGAACTAAACAACCCCCAGAATCAACCAATAAGCAAGTCTTCACCCTTAGAGATGTGGGGAAACAAGCCTCGAGGCTGATTCTTTTTTTGTATACAAGCCTGCTACTTCTCCCATACATTCTTTATATTCTTTGTGTTTTCTAAAATGAAACCTAGGCATCTTCTCCAGACAGTCCTGGTTCTCCTTCCCTGTTGGGCTGATTTCTGCTCTGCCCTCAAGTGACTTGTCAGGAGTTCAGAGCTTTGTATGCCAGCAGGAGAATTGCTAACACAGACAGTGTCTCATGGACAGAGCAAGTGTTTATTTTAACATGGTTGTTTTATGATATAAGAAATTTATCACATGAGGTAATATGGAGCCCATTGTTTATAATATAAAATTAACTAGACATTAACTTGATACATTGAATATGTGAATGAATGGACCAAAGAGATTTGAGCTCCTGTTTCTGCTGTAGGATTAAAGTCTGAGAGGGTTAATTATCATTTTATAGACTGTCCTGCAGTCATCTCATTATCAAACTCATTTGCATTAAGAATTGTGTTTGTGTGTGTATGTGTGTGTAGTTTTAATTTGAAGGACATTTTTAATTTCTTCAGTTATTTCCATTGGAATTTTGTGTAACTATAACTCTTGGTATTTTGAAATGCAGTTAAATAGTATGGATTTATGAAACTGTCTAAATAGCTATTTATTAGGTGAAGTTTTCAGAAAGTTAGCTGTTTCTTATAGAGACAAATGTTTAATTATATATTATACTCACAAGTATATCATTATATACATACATATATAGATAGCTATATATGAATACAGTTCAATTGGAAAGCTTTGTTTGATGAACATTTTTCTATTCTACTGGAAAAGTTGATACATTTGTTCAGTTAAATTATCTTTTAACTGGAGGGTATTTAAGATTGTTTGCTGGAGACCCTTGTTTGGAACATGACAAAAGCTCGCATTGACACAGTCAGGTTCCACACTCTGAAAACTCAGCCATGGTGTAGTAGTGGTTTTTCTTCATGACAGATGAGAACTCCTTAGCGCCTCATGGAAGTTACGAGTGAAGCCTGGTACCTTCCCTGAGAAGGAGGTGCGCCATGGGCCCTGGCACAGTTCCATTGGCTTCTCAGGGGACCTGGTGCCTGTGTTAATTTACATTTAAAGCACCATTGTTAATTTAAAGCTTCACGTGTATCATCCAGTGTTAAGGTCTTACCCAGAGTACTTTCTTAGTGTTTGCAGTGTAGAATTCCTCCTTTCCCAAGCTCTAAGGGTTTTGTCTATGAAAGGAAGGAAGGCTCACTGGATGGTTTAAGATCAGAAAAGCAATGCTTCCCGGACCTTTCATTTCAGTGGAAGACAGAGGGACCTCTGTAAGATGCCCGGCTGGCATTCACCACCTAGCTCAGTTGGTGAGTTCCCTTTCTATATCCCCTATGTACAAAGATGGCTGTGGTAGGATTCCCTCACAAGTCTACCGGGAACTGGCCAAACAGTTTCAAACCCTAAAAATCATGGGCCTAGTACCTCGTTGCTTCCTGAGACCCATCCTTTCCTTCTTCTGGTGACTTCTTGTCTTTTCTCGTCTCATCCTCTGGATTGAGCATTTCAATGTCTTAGGTCTTCCTCTGAGCCAGGAGAGAAAGGACTAGATTGTGGCCAGTGGTGCAGGCTTGAATTCAGGCTCTGTGGCCGTCCCTCATGCTGATCTGAGCATCATTTAACCATGCTGAGTTTCAGGTCTAACCCTGAAACTGGATTAATGCCTCCTGGGTAATACATACTACATAACATATCTGACAGGAAGAGCTCAAGAGACAGGCAGTAGAATTTTAAAGTTAATTTTTGCAATACCCATTAGAGATGTTGTTTTGTAAAATTTACCTTTCTTCATCCGTTTTTTTTCTGTATATTTTAAGAAGGAAAAAACTTACTTTTGTCACTTCCTCTTTACTCTTAAAGTCAACAGATACATTTTGTAAGGGTACTTTGTTATTGGTGGTGACAGGGCACACAGGAGTAAATTATGGCATTGTCACCTCTGGTAATGTAGGAAGAGTGGATGTGGCTGTTTCCTGCTTACATCTTTGGACTAGCTCAGAACATTCAATGACCCTTTCCCATATGCTGAGTGTCGCCCTCGGCCTAGCTCCCCCCCCGGTCACCTGCCATCTAGTACACTGAGCTTTTGGGGCATCTGTGCCCTGTCACTGTTGGTGTTGGCTATTGTTTTGCTTATTATGTATTTTCTATTTAACCTTCAAAAAATACCATTATCTTAAGCTTATGACCATTTTATAATGTAGGGAGTGACAAGATGCTGAGAGCACTTTAGAACTATTTACAGACACTGCCCTTGCCATTTGAAAACATGTTTAAGACCATCGCAAAACAATCTTTGTAAACATCCCCATTTATTGTGTTTGTAAGACATGAAGAATATAGAAAAATTACTGGAATTTTCGGATGGGCTTAGATTGCAGAGAAGTATGGTAACACAAGTTGAGTATAACTAGGTAAATTACCGTTTCTTTTTAAAATCAGAGGTTATATTCTCAGTGGTTAGATGTGACAGTCTTGTAGTAGTCTCCTGATTATCCATAATTTCTCATCCTTTTGACACTGTTCAAGATGTAAAGGACAATATTTGATTTTGCAGTATAATGTTTTTAAAATGTATAGTACCATTTGAAACAGAGGGAAGCTGAAAGAGGAGTTGTTAGACAGGTCAGTGTACAAAAACATATATGATAATGTTCCCTGCGTTATGCAAGCATAGATAAGTCTATGAACTACCAGTGAGATAGAGTTCGCTAATACCTCACTTCAGGGAGTGTAGGCGCTACCAAACATATGCACTTAAAACCATGGTGCATTTTGTGTTTTTGCCTGTCTCCCTTGAGGATCTCTGTTCCCTGTAGGTGATCCAGTGTGGTGTGGGTTTCTGAATTTGACCTGTATGAGAACAGCTAGGATTTGTTTGGCAGGAATTGATGCTTAATATATGAAGTGTTTTCAGTAAGCAAAGAGATGCACTGGGTAGCTCTTTGTGAGGCAAGTGACAGCATTCAGAGCAAGCTGAGCTATGATCCAAATAACTTCTTAATTTAGGAGATTGGTTCACACATTCTTTACCTATGTGTGTGACACATGTGTTGAACTTATGTAATGGTTTCCTTGGTTTTGTAACTAATTCATTTAGCAGTTTCTCTAACAATCTCTCCTTTCCAAAGCAGATGTCAGATGTCATTATTTAGATGCACACAGTTCCTTGACAGAAGCTGAAGTGCTGGCCTAGAGGGAATATTCAGGGTCCATGTTTATGCAATGATTGATTATCTCATTGGAAGGGAAGTAGCTGAAGGTTGCACAGGGTGGGGGACGGTGGAGGGCAGGACAGTGTTTTCCTTTAGATGATACTCTGTACCCACACCTAGTGTGTATAGGCTCAGCTCTTGCCTTGGGGGATTCTCGGGTCTGTAATGTAAACTGGGAAACAGTATGGCATAAATACCTAGAGAGAGGAGCCCTGATGTGTGATCATCTCAGCCCCACAGCCAGAGTCCTTTCCTCCTGGATGTGTACTGGTAATTACACTGCTGATATTAAATGCTTTGTTTTGCTCGAATTTTGAGTTTGCTGTATTTGAGATAGGATCTTGCTCACTGTGTAACCCTGACTAGTTTTGAACTTGTGACCCTCCTGTCTCAGCCTCTCAGGTACTGGGATTACAGGTGTGTACCACTGTGCTTGGCTTCTTTGTAAATCAAAATGTTTACGATTCATTACTGAATATGGTTGGGATGGAATGGTTTTAATGCTTTTCTCCTGGAAAGAAAAGCAGAGGCTTTTGTTTGTACAGTTTTTTCTTAGGTGGATGTGGTTTCCATGGAGAAATATAGAAACATCCTAACTCTTCTCTCTAGTA